GCCTCCAACCACCACCCCCCCCATCCACTTTGTCACACTGCCCCTCCCTACCTGACACTGTACTTATCTGGCAGGCTATCTCCACCCAGCTAATACTCTACGTCTGTGGCAGCTTACCCCACTTCTCATATGGCACCTGATCCTTCCAGCACCCTAACATTACACTTACCTCAGTAATTACATTTGAGAGCAGTTGTCGGGACTTTTACATTTCTGGATATTTTGGCTGACTCCTGTAAAAATGGGACATGGCTTGCCTTCCCCCTACAGTTATGCATGAGAGAAAAAAACTGTCAGAATGGAAGTGCAGCTCCACATCTCAGAAATGCAATGCTTATAAGCAAAGTCCCATGACATAAATTGGGTAAATGTAGGTAAATGATGATTTGTTTTTAGTGTTGATGATTGAGGAATGAATATTGGTCATGAAACTGTGCTGAATCCCATTACTCTTCAAAGCAACATCATGACATCTTCAATGTTCACATCTGACAGTAGGAGGGGCTTCAGATTAACATCTGATTTGAAAGGTGGCATCTCTCACAATGCAGCACTCCCTAAATACTGTACAGGTGTGTCAACCTAGATTGAGTTATTAATAAGTGACTCCACACATTTCTGACTCAGAAGCATTTGGAAAACATTTATTGGACTATTTCATCTTAGACTCACAATTGATGTAACTAGTATATTAAATGCAGAAAATTGTTTCTCCTTTTATCTACATGCCTGTTCAATGCCACTATCCTTTCGTTTTAAATAAGGGTGCAATGTTTTGGGAGATCCACAAGATAATTATTTAAAACTAAATTTATCTGCTGCTTTCATTATACATGTTAAAATTATTTAGAATTCAAATCCTTATTAGTTTATTAATGTATGGGTATGTGACAGATTAGCAATCTGATAACTGGGGATATACTATACGCTTAGGAAATGTTATATGTTTTTATATTGTACTTGGATCAGCAAATCCTTACAATTGGAATAATTTGAATGTGGTTGAATGCTTTAGAACTCTATATTTAAACAGCTTTAGGTTTATCTATCATTAATAGTTAATGATCATGGCCTTCTCATAAAATACAGGGAATATTTGTATTAATATATATTCTGCTTGATGGTAAGCGGGAGAATGGTGCAGCATTAGAACTGAAAAATACTGTTCAATATCTGTTTGATAGCAGATGTTTTTGCTTGAAAGGGCTCTCTACAGACTCTTCACAATTGATCCTACTTCTCATTTTTTGATAAATACTTTAAATTACTCCCCTCAAATTGAAGGAAGTCCTTCTGTCATGTGGTCAAACCTTGCGTCATTGGAGACTTTAAAAAAATGAAGTGCATAAAAAAGCTCTTGTGGACTGTATGAATGACCAGCCAATTCTGGGTTTGTTGCAGAATTTTAGCCAAGACATTGGCATCAGGATGATAGAAAATAATTTCAAAATATGTACACTGGAGCCAAGTGCATTTTATATAACATCAACATGCCTTTAATAACATCCATAAGGTACTTGATCTTAAAAAATATTGAAGTGAAGGTTCATTGCTCAGCGTTGGTGGTCTTCTGCATGCTGAACCAACATTTGATTGGATTGAATGGAGCTTTTTATTTTGGGTCCTTGAATAAGTCTGTGCTTTAGCAGAGATTTGTTCAGTGGATTAAAATATTATGTGGCAGATGTTGTCCACAGAAATGTCAAAAAAGACTACGTGTAGGCTCCATATCTCTTGAAGGAGAGCAGGAAAACGTCAAAACTGACTATTTGTTCACATTCATTGAAGATGGATGTCACTGGCTAAGGTGAGCATTTATTGCTCATCCCTAATTGCCCTTAAGAAGGTGGCAGTGAGCCACCATCTTGAACTGCTACAGTCCATATGGGGCCCCTTTACGTTTGCTACTTTGGTACTCTTAGATGGTAAAGATCACTGGTAGAGGTTTGGAAGAGAAATCTTGCTGAGTTACTGCAGTGCATCTTATAAGAGGTACACACTACAGCCATTTTGCCTTGGTAGTGAAGAAAGTGAATGCTGAATGTGATGGATGGGGTACCAGTCAAGCAAGTTGTTTAATCCTGGCCAGTCACTTGACGTTCTTCAGTTTTGTTGGAACTACACTCATCCAGGCAAATGGAAAGTATTGTGTCACACACCTGACTTGTGCCTTGTGGACAGGCTTTGGGAAGTCAGGTGGTGAGTTACTGACTGCAGAGTTCCCAGACTCTGACCTGCTGTTGTAACTATAGTATTCTATGGCTACTCCAGTTCAGTTTCTGGTCAATGGTAATCAAAAGGATGTTGATGGCATGGGATTCAACTATGGTGATGCTATTGAAAGTGAGTGCGATGGTTAGATTTTCTCTGACTGTGAAGCTATTTGCATGTGCTATTAGACAAAAGCATTGTACTGGATGTATAAGAAATGAGAAACCCAGAAATAAAAGGAATTAATCAAGATTACTATGTATTGAAATGACCATATCATAGCAGTCTGAAGTTCCTAACTTTTCCCTGTTGTTTAAAGTTATTGGGCTGAATCTTACATGTTTTCACTAAGTCCACATTTGCATCAAGCTTTTTGGAGGGTTTATTACCATGAGGCAGAGTGACTTCTCTCATCCTATCTTATCAAACTTGCCTCATTACTTACTTACCATGCCATAATAGTGTCCATCACATCCAATTATCACCCATCTAACCTCATGCCATCCCCTGAACAACTCACCACTTAGTGGATATCCCAGAGTTCATTGGCACCCTGGCACCTTCACCATCTTTAAAAGCCTGTTGTACACCTGGATACGCACTGCCAATCTATAGCTGCCTTGCACAGTTGCTGACATTTCCCCTGAAAATGATGGACAGGGGAAATCGTGCCCCACTTTGTGGACAGGCTCCTTGAAGTCCTCCTCAACAGTGTAATGTTGATGTGGGGCTTCCTCCTCCCCCAAGACCAGCGGTGGAGGCTATAGCACCAGACCATGCCAGCCTGGTCCAAGGTCACCACCAGGCTTAAAGCACTCCCAGCTGTCTGAAGGAATGCCCAGTAATATAGGGTGAAGGAGAAGTTCCACCATCTTCTCTCAGATATCGCAAGCTCACTCTGTCTCTGCTACTGCACCCAACTCCCACCAAGGTGCACGCTCTACAACTCTCACTATTGCTTGCAACATCTCCCCCATTTGTTGTCGCCCACCTCAACTCCTGACACTGCTGAGTCTGCATGACCTCTGTGCTTCCTGATCCTTACTTGGGACACCTCCCTACCTGCACCTAGAGTAATAACTGTGCTACCTATTTTCATCTCCAATAATGCCTGCTTCTCTCTCATTCCAAGAAGAAAATAGCCTGCAGTAAGGCAGAAAGAGCCAAGACAGGCATGTGCTGCCCATCATTCAACTCCTTACCCCTGGCCACTTTACTCCACATCTGCGGACATTGGCATCCAACACATGCCAGCCTCTAAGAACACTTACGGCACTGATCCACTTCTGTACTTCAGTGGTGTGCCTTGGGCTATCATTGTAATGCTGCAGCAAGGGCCCTGTGTGTTCAGGGACATGCACCCTGCTCACGGACAAGACCAAGCTGTACCTTCAAGCTCTTTGTTTGCTCTGACAGCACTCACTCACTCTGAGCCTACCTAAATGCTTACAGCATTCCTGTTCTGTCTTGCCTTGCCTTTTTGTGCTTTGTGCCTTCAGACAGAGATCCCAGACTAACATTACTGCTGTTTGCCAAGCCGTTAAGCACAGACACAAAGCCAGGAAGCTTGTCATATTTATCAACAGATCTCAGTGAAGTCAAGGAGTATAGTCTTCGCTCAGGGGCTCCCAGCACAGTAAGACAAAGGCAGACTGGCTCAGGGTGCTCCAAATGGAATCTACGCCTGAAAGAATGTTTGAAGCAGAGTCAGTTGTAACTTTTAAAGAGGCTTTGGAGGAATACTGGAAGGGGGAAGATTTATATAGCAGTAGGAAGAACAAAGAACTGGGACTGATCAGATACCCCTTTGAAAGATTATAGACAGGCATGATGGAGCAGATGGACTCTTTCTGTGCTATATCATACTATGATTCTACCATTCTACAAATCCAATAGTCTAGCAGAGGCTTTGAAGAGAATACATCATGAATTAATATTTAAATATCATTTTATTCATTTCTTTTAGGCAAGTTGAAAGAAGATAAGAATTTAATGGGATAAATTCAAGAGTCGTAAGTCACAGGAAGGGTAGGGTTACCTGATCTTTAAGATGATTTATCATACTAACTCAGACACCTTTCACATCAATTGTCTTCTCTCTAAATTGTCCTACAGGCAGAATTACTCCTGAGATTTTTGATCACAACATACTCCAGAGAAGATTAACAGTTGTGTCATTATATCCTAGATTAGAAGTGGACTATTATTGGTCTTTCAAAGGATGATTAATTGTATTGCAGTCAGTAATGTTATTATTATTAATAATATTATACTTTGGATTATATTAATGTATACTTTTCATATAATTTCTGAATATTATAAAGCAATATGGAAGTAACCACAATTAGAATATTTTTGAACTTGTGAAATTATGCAAAATTATTGAGCATTTTCAGTGCCCATATAAGAGTGGGGAATGGGTAGTCAGAATACTATATACACCTGTACAATTGGAAATTTATGCTGTTTTATTAAAATTCTTTTTGCTTTCATACTACATATTGCTAATCAACATTAGCTGCTTCCTTTGGGAAACCAGCATCCATTTTGGACAAAATGCAAGCAGCCAATATGGGCTTTGTAAAACTGTCCTGTTTATTAATCTTCTGATGGGAGAATTCAATCCAAAAGTCATATTTATGTTGGTACCAATTGTCAAACTTCACATCATTGATCAGGGTTGCACTTCAATCTTCAGCGGCAAAGTAACAAATTAAAGTAACGCATTAACCAAACAAAATGAAATTGTAGGAATGTAATAAAAAGAGGCATTATGCATTATCATTTTGCTTCATTTGGTCCTTGCGCTGCTGAAACAACTGAGGAAAGAATAATTACTGAGCTATTTGATTTGTGTTCTTACTGGTGAGGTTGTATTGAACTTTCAGACTTGTACAATTTTACCTATAGAGAAAGCACAAATATTTATTATGATGAATTCCAAGCATGTTTCTGGCCTTAGTGTATAATAGAATATTTTTTGTTCAACTTTTACAATACAGAAAAAATTAAATGTACAGCAGAAGTATTCAAAAAGATAAATTTGATCACATTGGATGTGGTACAGATTTGGGTTATGGCAAAATTCTTTGTACTCAATTCCAATAAGGTACCTAATCCTAACCTCTGAACCACTCCCCTTGCTGCCAAGCATGTACTTTCCATTTCCCACTTCGGTTGTCCTCATGGCCTAAGTGAGATTGCCAATTTGCGGTCAGTTTTGTGTTTAGGACTCTGGGCTAAGAAATGGACTGGGACTGTTCATATTCACTTCACTGAGGCCTCTTACAGCTTTTGCAGAGAAGAACCTTTCATTCCATTAACTTGGGCTGTGTTCAAGCCCAGGTGAAAAGACAGTTATGTTAACTCACTGTGCTACCCAGTTCCTCTCAAGAGATTTTTTAAAGAAGTAAATAAACTAACTGCTTGAATATTTTTCAAGATTTAGAGTATCCTTCCCTGTTGTGCTTGCTGTGTTAACTTATATGTAAAATAATAATTATTGTTAATCTTCAAATCAGCATTTGATTGAATTAAAATAAGCAACTTCATGAAATGTCAATATATTTTCATGCATATTTATTTTCAGTTCTTAGTTTTGCTACTTAAAGTTGGTGAAAATCAAAATGTTAAATGTTTGTCATTTCTATTATATACAAAAAATTGTGTGCTTTTAGTCAGTCCTATTTACATCTTACACCAGAACACCCATCACACAACTTTCTCTCCATATAAACACCTCATGAAGTAGGTCACAATAGCACAAGAACTGCAGACTTGTCACTCTGGGTCACTCAAATGACCTATTAATTTACTTAAAAATAACTACATTAAAAGCTGCAAGGTAAGATGTTTTGACCATATTGTTTTCCTGCTCTGACCCTAATTCACAAATGGGAAGAAAGATCAAGAACCTATATATTGCCTTTAATCATCTCAGGATGCCACAAAGTGCTTCATCACCAGTTAAGTATTTTCTTGAAGTACTGTCACTGTTATACAATGGGAAGCGCAACAGTTAGTTTGCTAACCACAAGATCCCACTAACAGAAGTACCATGATCATCAAATAATCTGTTTTAATGACGATTTTGAGGGGTAAATGTTGGGTAGGATATCATGAGAATTACTCTACCTTCTTCCATGTAGCCATGGGGTCTTTATTGTCTAAGTGACAGATAGGTCATACCTTTTGGTTTAACACCTAATCCAAAAGATGGCACTTCCAACTCTATCAATAGTCTTCAAAACTCTTCAGTACAAACATATGATTTGCTCATGTCTACTGAATAGATTTCAGAGGAGAAAATGCAATCACTGAACCAAAATTGACACTGGGAGATGGATTATTGCAGTCACAGTGTATTACTATCCAACAGTGATTAGGCTTCAAAAGTATTTCATTGACTATAAAGCACCTTGGGCTGTGCTGAGGTCTCATGAAAGGTGTTCTATTGACACAAGTTCTTTCTTTTCTTTGATGAGAAAAATTCATAATTCACACAACAATGGCATTCACATGTGTGTTGCACTCATGTATAATAAATGACCAGAAAACCACTTGGAAAGTATGATCCCATAAATATATGATCAACTTTTATTCATTCATGGTGAGCATTGATCTCTAGGACAGCATTTCTTTCCCATCTCTAGTTCTCTTTGAGCAGTTGGTGGTGTGCTGCATTCTTCAACTATTGCATTCTATGTGGTGTAAGTACATCAAATGATCAGAGGTATAGATAGAGTGGACAGCCAGAGACTTTTTCCGAGAGTGGAGGTAGCTATTACGAGGGGGCATAGTTTTAAAGTGAGTGGAGGTAGATATAGAGGAGACATCAGAGGTAGGTTCTTTACTCAGAGTGTGGTCGGGGCGTGGAATGCATTGCCGGAGAGGGTAGTGGAGTCGGCCTCATTAGGGGCATTTAAGCGGCAATTAGATAGGTATATGGATGATAGTATAGGTAGGGGTGGAGGTTAGATAGACATTAGGATTAGGCCAAAGGCCTGTGCTGTACTGTCCTATGTTTTATGTTCTATGTTCTATCCACATGGCTGTTGGGAAGGGTATTCCAGGAACTAACATTCGAGTGAAGGAAAGGTCATTGACGAAACAGCTAAAGATGGTTGAGTCTAGGACAATACCCTAAGGAACACCTGTAGTCATATCATTCAGCCAAAATTTTGACTTCCAAGAACCATAGTCATCTTCTGGGTATGATTCCCAACTATTAGAGAGTTTTTTCCCTGATTCCCACTTGCAAGGACTCCTTGATACTGCACTCACTCAAATGCTGTCTTCATATCAAGAGCAGTAACCCTCACTTCCCTCTTGAGTTCAGCTCTTCTGTCCATCTTTGGACCAAAGCTGTAATGAGATCAGGGTTGAGTGGGCCTGGCAGAACACGAACTGAGCATCAATTAACAGGCTATTGTTAACTAAGTGTTGCTTAATAGGACTTTGCTGATGCATTCCATCACTTTGCTAATATAATAAAATGTATCCTTGATCCTTAAGAGCTAAATCAAATAAAATTTCTAATGATGCAATCTGTAATTATTGAATTCTCTACTGCAACAAAAGAAATGCTATCAGCCAGAACTAATGCACGCAGGATAAAATATTCAGGAAGACTTGACGTTATCACAGTTGTCTTGGTTTGATGGATGGCAGGTTCCAAAGAAAGAGGTGACTGAAGGAGACAATTGGTGATGCAACTCTGAAAGCAACTTACATTCAGTTAAAGCAAGATTCAATATTTTAAACAGGGTGAGATGACAGCTGGTAACACACACACATACACACACACACTCTCTCCTCCCCCCAGAATAAAACTGTTGTTATGGTTTAAAATAAGACCATAAGAAATAGGAGTCAGAATAGGCCATGCAGCCCTTCATGCCCATCCTGTCATTCAATGAGATCATAGTGATCTTCTACTTCAACATTATCCCTGAATTCCTTCTTGTCATTAATATGAGGAAAACAATCGATCTATCTATCTCAGTCTTGAGGATATCATACTTTTTATGTTGGTTCTGAATTGTGATCAATTGCTTTATGAAGAGAGAAGTTTCTATATTTGATGGAATAGGTCCAGGCTTCAAAAGGCTTAGATAGCATGGCTGTGTAAAAGAACACTTAAAGATAAAGTGCCAATGAAAATGAACATGTCCTCTATAGAAGTGGATAGCAGGTAGATTGTCACAATGAGATCTAATAGTATAGGTGCTTAGAATCACTCCCTATATTGTTGTGAAGCAATACCTAACTCTTACAACAAGGTGCAGGGCTGGATGAACACAGCAGGCCAAGCAGCATCATAGGAGCAGAGAGGCTGACGTTTCGGGCCTCGACCCTTCATCAGAAAAGGGGGAGGGGAAGGGGGTTTTGAAATAAATAGGGAGAGAGTGGGAGGCGGATAGAAGAGGGATAGAGGAGAGGATAGGTGGAGAGGAAACAATTACATTCAGGTTGTCAAAGTTATCTGAATAATTATAATGTTTGAGTGTTACATTTTCAGCAACTCGGATCCAAATTCAAAACATGACCAAAGCCTTCTGATTGTACCCTGCTCTAGACTACAGGCCACATTTGCAATTCTGATGAAAAATGAGTTGACATAAAGTGATATTTCAGTTGTTTTTGTCCACAGATTTTCAAGACTTGTTGAATATTTCTACATTTTCAATGTTTATGTCAAACATTCAACAGCTGCAGTACTTTGCTTTGGTGCAGGCTAGGTCTGTTTGTCCGAACCAAGCAGTCTGGAGTAGTTGAGGAAAATCATCTGATGCAAAAATATTTTTATTCAGTTTGATAGAGGTGCCACTAAGCTATTCGATCCTTTTCATGTGAAGGAAAATATGGAATGTGCTGTTTGTATACAGGAGACTTTCTTTTCCACTGACACTATTAGGGTGGGATGAAGAGTCTTGAAATCAGAATTGAAAATCAATTGAATCAACACTTGCAGCTTGTTGCATGAAATGGTTCCCTTTCTGAGGTGCAGATCTATTTAAATTGCATAAAATATTCAAAGCAATCTGTGCAAAGACCTGTAAGTGTGCAACAAGATATTTAGAGGATAATGGCTATCCAGTGCAAATGTAATGCAAACACTTCTTCACGTGGAAGATGCCATTGCATTGGTATTTCATGTATAAAGTATGAAATCCTTTCAGAATTATGCCTGTGGAATTATTGGTCAACACTTCTTATGAATAATGTGAAAATGAGAAGAACCATTCTGCTAACATTTGATGCTGTATATTCCTCCCTTGTGCCTGTCTCCACAACATAATAAAAGTGTCTGTGCTGTAAATTGTGTGATACATTACTCACATTTGATTGTAATTTCTAAACCACGACTGATCCTTATCTTCTGACTGAGGTTTGTGCCAAAATGAAGAAACTTTGATGCAACTTTGCCATAGCTAACAACCTAAGAATCATCTGGCTTCAGTGTACATCTCTTCAATGTAAACCCTTGATAATGTGCTTTCTAACCCAATCTGCCCAACAATGCAGGCCTGTGACCATATGTGCTGTATATAGGCCGTGTGTTATGTAATGCTCCACACCTAATTTTTATGTGAAGAAATGTTTTGGGAACATTTGTTTTTCTCCTTTCATATCTTCAAAAAATCCGTTTTATATTGTCAAATGTTTCCAGATAGTCCAAGAAATTGCTTGATTATTTTGAAATCCAAATTTACGCTGGGTTCAGTTTACAGTACAGAGTGCATATAATTTAAGTTAATGTACAGCACTTGCTTTATTTAGTGTTCAAAGTTTTTCTAGATTGAGAACTGACACACAAATTACTTTTCAACATTTTAAAGCAATTTATATCAAAAATGGCTTTGCAAACGAGTCAGTAGATCGCCAACTCTAGAGTTTAGAGACCAGAATCAACTGTATCCACTTTGTTGTCTATGGCAGACTTTTTTTAAAACTATTAGCCTTCTTACCTGTTGCTAAGTTCCCTATTTTTAATAAAATCACATGAAAATTCTCTACTAAACTTTTGTTGTTTTCAATATTTGCCAACCAGTGTTGATCTATGGTTATGGAATTGGTAAGCACTAACAATGTGCACTGTAGAAATAGTTCAAACTTTCCACACAATGTAGTGGCACAAACATGGACAGCAGTTTGTAAGAAGACATTACAGCTTGGGCTGACTGGAATCAGCTGTTCTTTTTCTTGTTACTTGTTTGTTGAAATTTAGATGTATATTGGAACACTCATAATCTCTAAAGAGGCCATTTGACAAAGTAAATAATTATTTAAAAATATACACTGTATTATAATTGGAAACTGCAATGACTGGAAAACACTTACAATTCAGGCTCTTTGCTGACAGCTGCGCTGTTTTCCATGGAAACTGCTGACATCATTGTATGGAAACTGAAAAACTGGAGCCTTGGAGCCCTGAAAAAGAATAGCCAAAAGCACTTCTTAGTCTTTGTATGACAGGAAGGATGGGAGCTCAAAAAATACACCATGCCAATGTAACCCAAAATACCACTGCTTATCTAAGAAGATGCAAAAAACCCTCAAGAAAGTATCAGGATAATTGATTCTATTTGTTCATATGAATTTCCATCCCTGTAAAATTCTTTCTCTTCTATTAACCATCAAGAAAAGTAAGGAAAATTAATTTCAGTGTTGAGAAGAAGAATTCAATCTCCTTTGCATTCAGTGCATAAATATCTAATCTTTCTCATAATAGCGATTTCCTGCATCTCTTCTTGCAACTGAAACTCAACAAGTCAAACACATAAATTCAACACATTAATTTTTTTGTCACCCAGAACATCCCAGATATCCTATCATGGGAGACATAATGAAAATATATTGCATTTCACAACCGAATTTCATTATTGGTTATGTGATGTTAATGTCACTTTGACCCACATTAGGTTAGGATGTCCGTTTAACAAATAGCACATATTCAACAAATAACATTCCACTTTGACAAATTACTTTATTTTACAACAGTCATTATATCATAGTAATAAGTTGAACGAGGTAGAATACTTCAAATTAAATTTACAATACTTTTGGAACATTTAATAGCTCCACTGCAGTTGATTGATTTTCTGGTTTTCAGTATTTTAATGGGGTATTTTGTCTAATATTTGATTAATAAAACTGCAAAAGAAAAACTGCTCTTTTGTCACTTGCATTCTGTAGATTTTTCTTATTGGGCTGAGAAGTTGATTGTACATTATTTCGAAAATTTGAGTAGCTTCAGTTATTTGCTGAAATCGATTACTCATTGGGTCTGCCCTCCATTTAGGTAGTAGGTAAAGGTTCTATACCACAAAAGCAGCTTTGCCTCATTTGTACACTACCCATTGATAATATTTATTGTCAACCAATATTTCTAAATAAACAGACCATATGGTCTTTATCACATTGCTGTTTGTGAGGCCTTACTGTTTGCATATTGGTTGCCCCTTTGTATTTCAAAAGTACTTCACTGGCTGTAAAAGGACAGTTGGATTTGAGGGGCACCAGGAGTGCCACTGAAACTGGTCTACAAGTGCAAACTCATTTTGGTGCATTTTCACTATTGTTTAGTTGACAAATCAACATTATAGTTATTCAAGTAATTAATGAAAATTTTTGACAACAGAATATGGCTTTTTTGACCGGACTTTCTTCATATAAATTTACAAAAATAAAAGGAGAAAGGGATAAATATGGTACATGGCTTTACTATAAACAATCTTCCTGTTTAAAGTTATCAATATAGGTCAACATAATTTATTAAAGAGAAATTGATTGAATGGTTCTAAACTTGATAGTTCATAGAATGTTGTGCCTAGTTGTACTTGAATTCATAAAGTGTGGACTTACATTTGTATAGCACCTGAAGTCTTTGGAATATTTCAACGTAGTCTGCAACCATTAATTTGCTGTTTAATGTTTAAACACCGTTCTACATAGTCAAATGTATTTTGCAAAGGGATTATAAAAAAAGACTCGCATCTATATTGTGCTTTCCACGACCACAGCGTGTCAATAAAGCATTTTGGAAGTGTTGCCACTATTGTGTGGAAATGCTGTTTAATTGTCTGGCGTGAACCTTGGGAGACAATAGTCATACAGGATCACTGGACTAAATGGCATTGCAAAAATCAGTCTTTGGAATTATCGAATATCATTCATACCTTTCCGACCACTTTAGAAGTTGTTGACGACTCCCAAGTCTGTTGTTTTGAAGTGCAATCCTGTCGACGGGGGATCAAGAGCAATAAAATGTTACAAGCAAATTCCAGATCACAAGCATTCCCCCTTTTCATGTCAGTAGAAAAGAAAATGCACAGAACGATGACTGCATAGCTAAAGGTGAAAGGCGACTTTGAGCAAGTGGGAAACTTCCTGCAGAACTCATCTTGCCCCCCCACCATCTCCAATCATTATCTCCTAATCAGTGGCTCCATCCTTTTCTTATTAATGATTAGGCTATTTCAGAAATCCTTTCCACCTTGGTGCAGTAAATCTTTGCTCTCCTTCCTGCTGTGCAGTCATAAATTCTCGTTACAATAGATTCTGCAATCACGAATTATTATTGTCAAATCCAGCGATGAATGTTCTCATTTCCTTTCGAAATATGAAGTGGGATCGTCTCTTATAAACTAAACTGTAGATCTTATTAGGAAAATATTAAAATGCGTACCTACATGTTGAATGATGTCTTAATAGTAGGCACGAAATTGACCAGCTTTTAGCTGCGATAATTAAACAAACAAGCCCAAGTTAAAGTATTGTAATCGACATTTTTTAAAAAAAACGCTTTAATTCTCCGAAAGGAGAGTTTAATGTTAAAATTTCAACAAGAAATAACGAATGCTCCAAACGCTGCAGAAAATTGTTTCATTTTGCTTCCGTGTTATGTTATATAGTATGCAGTCACATTTAAAAAAGCAACGTTTGCTGAGTTTTCAGACGACTCTTGCGGACTGTATTGTTTTCTTTCTCTCCCTCTTATTTTCTTCTCTCATCATCCCAATTCGCTGCCCTGCCGCCGAACCTGTGTGTAGTTTCAGTCCATTTAGTTTTGTGGCGATGCAAAACTAGCTGGAGAGGGAAAGTCTGATTATGTTGCTGGCGTTCTTCTCATACAGCAAAGTGCACCATTCATTCATTCTGATTATTCTTTATGTTGCAATTCCAAAGGGATTTTTTTTCATATTTCATTTGCCTGAAATCGCTACAACGTTGTCAGGAACGAAATATTGAAGGTAAATAGGATAAGTGACACTTAAACTGGATGTTTTCCCTTCATCGCGTTCAAGCTAAAGCAAGCACAATTTATTTTAACGCTCCTATATACGCACAGACACCTACATCTGAGCGCCGACCTCCAATTTAAGTTATTGAATCTTGCGAGCGCCTGTGTTTGTTTTTGATGGAAATATTAACTTACAAATATAAAAAGGCTTTTTTTTTCGCCGGTGTTCATAAAACTGAGATATTTATATGATGGAAAACTGAAACGAGAAGAAATCTAACTGCGAAAGTACTGGATATAGTTGTTTCCTGTGGTCTTCCTCTATACTAAGATCTTCTTTTGAGTTCGCATCGTTAATCCGATTTCGTCCTCAGATGATTTGTACATCGGTTCATGCGAGGGAAATTCCATTCCAAAATAGACCAAATTAAGCACTTGGTCAAACTTAGCCTTACAGTAAAATACAATCGTTCAGCATTTCGATTCTGATAAAAGACAACTTTTCGGATATGCAAAATGGGGAGGGGGGGGCGCAATAGAAATAATAATTTAAGGCATCGATAATAATGAATCGGACAGAGACATGAGTTTGCATGTTTTTCGTGTAATATTCTTAACAATCCGTAGATATGTCTTTGGGATATCGCTCTTGTTTTAAGCTTCAGTATTCAATGTGAAGTGTTAGTCTTTGAACAAGTCATATTGGCAACGAAGTCCCAAGCAAATCAAACGAGTCTTTGTAGACGTCCAAGTTTAGAAATGCCAAGAGACTGACCCCGATCTTGTTCAGTGGTCGGAACTGACAGTTCTGTCGAAACCAAACCAATTAGCCGTTTTTATTGTAACCTGCAATGGAAATAAAACAATCATTTTCTTTATTCGATAAACGGATCAATTGTGGTGAATTATAATTCAGTAATATGATCAGTATCTACAAAATAGCGTTGCAACATTCTCTATATTATCTCTCGAGCCCGTAAATTTTCCGTGTGGAATTTTGCAGTGTATTGTCAATCTATATAATAACATTAATAGTGGGATTTTAAAAAAACTAATCTTCAGACAATCCATTCGTCCAGTCAATTTCAGATCTTAATGGCTACTGGTAATTTTGTGCCGTCCCGTTTCTAAAGGCTTGGAATGAAATTTGATGTTGAGAAAAGACAAAGAAGACTATTCACAAAGTAGGGGGTAAATGGCGATTCGCTTCATATTGGCCAACTCAGGTAAAGGTATAAAAGATTTGACAAGTATAACATCGGGAAATCCTGCAAACATAAATAAGGCCAGTAGAGGGCAGGAGTAAATTGAGAATGAAAAGATTGTTTCAAACAAGTGTGAGTAACCAGTGGGTTATCGTTAAAACTTTCGTCCTATTTGCACAGACGGCGGTAAAACATCAGTCCAAAAGCTGATCTGAATGCATGAGCTCGTACGACGTTAGATGAAAGATTTAGTTCCGTGACAAATTCATGAAATAGTGCATTATTGAAAATCAGTTCAATCGCCCAAAGAATACTGTACGGATTCATAACGTTATTACTATTGAATTCACTTCAAATTTCGGTTGTAAGCTCTGCTTTTTCCTTATTAGTGAAGACGTTTTTTATTCATTGAAAATATGGAATCTTAGTAACGAACGTTTTTTTTTAACAATAAAGCCTTCAGATTTTTTTTCCTACACCCTCGGTACGCGAATTGGAATCGTCAAAGAAGCATTTATAACTTTTATAAACCGCAATGGGGAAATAACTTTATCTATAAATATGTAGCAACGTTAATATAGTAAGCGAGAGAAAACCCTTTATGAGGGGAAATAATGTATTTCAGCTATTATTAGCTTGGCAAAGGGAAGAGGCATTGTAGAAAGCCATAGTCTAAGTCGAGGGAAATTCTGACCTTATCTGCACGTACCTCTCTGCTACTGAAGACTTTTTCTTGCCCTGGCGTTTGCAACAAGTTGTTTTTGCTGCCACTGAACCATGCTGCTTTCAGTTGGTATTGACATTAGGATTAACACAGACACAATAAAACAACGGAGACATAATATTTGTTCGTCCATTTCAATGTGTCAGACTGCTGTGACAGTTCAAAAAAATTAAAGAGACCTCCGTCTACTACCATGGCTGGGATTTTGAAGTGGTTTAAGTGAAACACCGCAGAAACCTTATTCAAAGAAATATGAATAAGGAATATAACGATGCTTGACAACAACCAAAACAAAAAAAAATACACATTCACATCCATGCACTGGTTAAACAGAATTCCACTTTGTGTCTTACTTACTTTGTGTCCCAGCAATGTACGGTTCATATTCATGATTTGAATAGGCAAGATACAATACCACGCCTGTTTATTATAAAATAAATGTGCACATTCCTTTAAGCATAACTGGCTGTAAGCGGTACGTGAGGAGAACTTTAAACCATCACCCCATACTGAATAAAGATAAATCCAAAACATCTCCATCTCCCGTTATCATTGTCGTCTCTCACTTGCATGGCCTACGCCTGATTTTAAGCAACCTTTATTAAATCGATGGTCCACCAAGCTACAATTGTGTATACACTTTCTTGGCGACACTGCCTCTAACATTTGCAACCGATGTAAATTACGATACAGATGGCAACGGCACAGGCAGATTAATTGGAGAGAGCGTGTCCGTTATGTATGAAACAACTTCTGAAATGAACTAGTAACGAGATGCATAAATTAGTGCTCAGCAATTTGAAGAGCACTTGCTGTTTATCTGGTGCCAACCCCGAATGCCCTTACACATTTAATTTCATCCCGATTATTGTTTCAAAAAGTAATTAATTTAGAATGAACACACTTGTTTCTTTTTGCTTCATTGCAAATGACATTCGCTGACCAACACTGTAAACTTGCTTTCTTTTTAACTTAATTTCTTATTTTTGAAACTTGCTGAAAAGCGTTAACAGCAAACAATGCTGAAAATCTGTTTTGTGTATCTGGAGATGGTGGTGGTGGAGGGTGGACACATGGGGTGGGGGGGGGGGAAGTTGTAGATAACAACAATAAAAATAACCCGATAGACAGAAAGAAAAGCTGTTATCAAAGTCCGCCAGATTTCAGGGGAACCACAGGACGTTTGTCACTTATCGGTGTAATTATTACCCCAGATGGATAATCTGATTTATGTCGGTTTGAAGTGTAAAGTAAAATAATCAAAGAGACAGACACAACACAAAAATAATCAGCATCAGATACATGAAAATAAACGGGGGGATTGATAATTTCTGGCGATTATTCCCCTTCGATTTGAGTTTGAACTCATTAGCGGGGAGACCCAGGAGACTCCTTTCATGAGTTTTTGGGTGAAGGATATAATCGAATTCCACGTACAATCCGCATGGGCCAGGGAATAAATATAAATCGTGTTTAGCAACGGTCTAGAGATTTTAATAATACAAACTCATTAATCAAGAAGATCTTATTTCCTCTACATTTAGAATTACCAGTTCGTTATAAAGTAGAATCTATTTGCTTTGTTCGCAATGCAATGTATCATTCGAATAACATTTCTCATGTTAATGATTTGATTTTAAAAACAATCAGAATATAGTTTTCACCCATTTAGTAAGGTCAGATTTTCGTGTACTCATTGGTGTATCCGTTTAGGACTGAAGGACTAGTTACATTGCAACCACACGCTGCTTTCAATATCACTAAAGGATGTTTGAAGGCAACCTTTACACAAATATATTTTTCCCCTTCATAATTATTGTTTTCATTCACTTTCTCATTCGCGTATTTAATTCCGTATATCTCAGAATGGATTGTGTAGTAATAAACTAAAAAGCAGAACAAAAGAAAACTTTTTGACTTGACTACGTGAGGACGGAATTTCAGCATCGGCACCTTGTCGGAGGAATTCCTTCGTTAAGTAACGCAGCCGGGTTAATTGCTAACAGGACCGTTAAATGGGCATGGGAAGGTGTTGGGGGGGGGGGGGGGGGGGGGGGGAAGGGATGAAATTAATTAAACCTTCGCCCCAAATTGGTTATTGAGGGGCGAAAAATATCACTTGAAAATCTGCCAGGAATGAATTTGTGTATGAAGAACCTTTTTTTTAAACTCACACACAATAGGCTGTGTTTCATGCGAAAAAATGAGTCTATTCTGAGATTTCCGTTAGAACGGGGGCAATTGCAGGCTACGTGAGACCCAGAGCAATAGCTAAAGGGGTTTTGTCCAAAATAAAAACTCAAGTGTCTTTATATGACCGTCTGACTAAGGTTGATGTACCAGTACTGTATAACACATAAAAGTATTGACAATACTGAATCTTGGTAGCCCCCTTACCTCTCCCCACCCCAATATCAGTGAAACCTGCTTCCCTTTTACAAGACGCCACCTACGTGTATTGCCATGTAATAACGCCCCACAGCTCGCATTCCGATTGGCCGAAAGTTTGGGGAAGGGGCGGAGCCTGCCTGCCGTAAAAGCCTCAATCTTCTGAAAGTTGTTGAAACTTCCCCCAAAAGCTTTTAGGACTATCTGCGGGCGCGCTCTTAATCAAGGGGACCTTCAGCATTTTTTTCTAAAAAAAAGAGAGAGAGAGAGAGAACGGATCCACCCCTTCAACCAATAAAGATAATTTCTCAAATACTCGGTCCAAGCAGCATTCTGTGCCGAAAAGCAAAACCAAAAATCAGTCTCACTCCCCGGCGATGCAGGCGCGTTACCCAGTGTCAGACCCCAATGCTCTGGGAGTCGTGCCTTACCTCAGCGATCAAAACTATTACCGAGCCGCCGGCACTTATGGCAGCATGCCCACCCCGATGAGTATGTACCCGGGCCACGAGCAGTACGCAACAGGCATGGCGAGATCGTATGGACCCTATCACCATCACCAGCAGCCGGTACCTAAAGACCTGGTCAAGCCTCCTTACAGCTACATCGCCCTGATCACCATGGCCATCCAAAACGCGCCTGATAAGAAAATTACTCTCAATGGGATCTATCAGTTTATCATGGACCGCTTTCCATTCTACCGCGAGAATAAACAGGGCTGGCAGAACAGCATCCGCCACAACTTGTCCCTGAACGAGTGCTTCGTCAAGGTGCCCCGTGACGACAAAAAGCCGGGTAAGGGCAGCTACTGGACGCTGGACCCGGACTCGTACAACATGTTCGAGAACGGCAGCTTCTTGCGGAGGAGGCGGAGGTTCAAGAAGAAAGACGCGGTCAGGGACAAGGAGGAACGCGACCGGCAGCAGAAGGAGGCGAAAGGGGGTCAGCACGTCGCCTCGCAGACCGACACCTGCCCCGAGAAGAAGGTGGTGGTCAAGAACGAAGCGGGCTCGCCCTGTATGCCTGTCATCACCAAGGTCGAGAGCTTGGAGAGCCCGGACAACGGCAGCTTGATCCAGGACAGCCCAAGGAGCGTGGCCTCCACGCCGTCCGTGTCTACAGAGAACTCCATCCCGGATCACAACACAACCAACAGCAACCTCTCCGGCTTCAGCGTGGAAAATATCATGACATTGAGAACATCTCCTCCAGGGGACCTCAGCCCCGTGGCTGTGAGCTCCAGCAGGACTGGTATGGGCTCCTCACTGCCGGTGAACTACCCTCCAACGCAGCAAGCCGTGTACAGCCCAGGCTGCACCCACAATATGGACTCCAGTGGAAGTTACCATTGCAGTATGAGAACCATGAGCCTGTACGCGGGGGACAGGAGCAGCCACATGCTGGTACCCACCAGCCTCGAGGATGCTATCTCAGACCACTCCGGCAGCTCCTCCCTGAACGCCATGAATCTGAGCACAGCGCCGGATGGTGTCCTCAGCCCGAGTCACCCTCAGCAGGCGGGGGCGCCGGCGGGACAAGCCGCTTCCTGGTACCTCAATCACGGAGCAGATCTCAACCATCTCCCGGGCCACACGTTCGCCAGCCAGCAGCAGACTTTCCCTAATGTACGGGAGATGTTTAACTCCCACCGACTCGGCATTGAGAGCTCAGCACTCAATGACCATCAGGTGAGCGGGAATACAAGCTGTCAAATCCCTTACCGATCAACACCGTCAGTATACCGGCATTCAGGGCCATACGCCTACGACTGCAATAAGTATTGATTTAGCAACCAACCTCTCTATCTTCTCATTTAAAATAAAAGATTGTGTATTGGGAGATGAAAACAAAACTGCAAAAAAAAACTTAAGACTGCACATAAAATTGCTGACTGTGACAGTCCAAACTACGGTGTGTGGCCAAACATGTTGACGACTTGTTGTTAGAAAGTGTGTATGAGGACTTTGAAAACTTAAGACACAGACTTTGTTTAACATTCTTAACATAAGGGAAACCTACTTGAATAACGAAAGTTTAGCAAAGTGGCAACTGCCAAATGTAGGGTCTAAACTGTTTAATGGACCAAGAATCTAATGATGCCTTTGTATGTTCTGTTTCTGCAGTTGTTTGTTAAATCCAGTCACGTTCCATTTTCCACAGCTAAGATCTTTTTTTCTCTCTCCTGACATTTTGTCCGGTGTTGATGCGACGTTATAATTGATGTAAATTGTACGATTTTCTATGGAGGCTACGTTACAGAGCCATTTAATATATTTTAAAGTTCAGTTCACTGGATTTTTTTAAAACTGTTCCCCAGCCATTGTAAAGTGCCAAAGCGTAACTGTTATTCAACCTCAGTTTTATAGCCATGTGCCGTGTACAGTGTAATTTTTATTACGTTCTTATCATCGATATATTTGTTCCGTTTAAAGCCAAAGAACTAATTTATTGGATGCATAGTATTTTTCTAAAACACGAAATCTCTTTTTTAAAAAAAAATAATGACAGTTCTGTATTGCCGACCCAGGCCCTGACTCCTCCGGTCTGTAGTTGATCCTTTTAAGATCATTTCCTTTCTAAGTTCAGTTGATCTTAATTTCTGTATTTATCTTAAAAAAAACCCAAAATAAATCAGTGTTGATTTTTTTTTGCCTTAAGTTAATGTGGCGTAGTGGATTTTTTTTTTCTGGTTGATTGCATGCTGGCTCGATATTGGCCTTTTGTCTGGTTAATGCAGAATTCTGATTATCTCTGTGCAGACTTCTACTCAGTCTGTGTTATTGACTGTCGATTAGCTTACCAGAGCAGTAACAGATCGCACGGATGATAGAGAGTTGACCACATCACACCATTATTTTAGTGAGAACTATAAAGTTTCGAGGCTGTCAAATAGGTGCCCAGGATTGAAAGCGATTTTTGTTTTTAGGTTTAGTAAGACCCATGAACGTAACTGAGAACAAGTTTATAGCAGACATGTCAAGGATCTGAGGCGACCATGTGAACTCTATGTAATGTCTGAGCCCATAATTTACAGGACAATGTCATACCCCTATGAAATGCACTTTTGGTTACTATTTGATCCAAATAATTAGTTTTATTTTGCTTCGATAAAATAAACCTTTAGAACTTTAATAAACCTGCCGATTCCTAGTTGCTCCTGTATGGGATGTGCTGTCCCCTCTTAAAAATATTTATCAATTACAAAGCATTTGATTTGTAAAGTTAGAAGTCCTGAACTATATTTACGTTCCAGAAGCCTTAGAACTTAGAAATTTGAGACGGTGCAGGTCCATTCACTGACAGACTTAGTCATCAATTTTAAATTCATTCATCAGATGTTCAAAACCCACCAAACACCAAGTTTCAGTTGACTGAAAGAACGGGGCTTGCAGCAGAAAAGCTCATCTCCGTCTAAATGCTAAAACCTGATTACGGTTGGCAGAAACTCACAACAAAGCTGAAACCAGGCCGGTATAATTTTATTTTGCAGATATACTTCCTGAATAGGCCTCAAAGAGCCTGCCACTATCCCCCGAAGCATTAATTTCACCTGAAGCATTGGATTTAAGTGAAAAGAATGTAACTTATTTTGCCAAGTGAAATTTACAGAATTCCGATTGTTCTGTGAAATTTAATATCAATTACACGCACGATATTTTCTGGACATAGTCTCTGATTCAATATTTATTTATGGTGGCGTATTTCATAACGACAGTTACTGGTCTGTGGTGCTCAACTGCTGTCATGTAACAACTCAAGGCTTGTGGCCAAAGATTCCTCCGGCAGACTCCATTGTAAGCTAGCCTTGGCAGGTTTGGACCTGATATAAGTTACTGGAAAGTGCACCAAACAAGCCCGAGTTGTATTATAATTGACCAAGAGGCAAGCCATGTGAATAAAAGTATGAACGCGTTTCTGAGCATACATGCGGGTTCTGTCTCAAATCGGGTCGTTCTATCTTCTCAGGCACAGCCTCCTGGCCTCGGTAGATAGCTGCACCTGTCATTAACAATATCTAGTTGAAAGTCAGCTGCGAATAGAATGCGCAAACATCTGGCGTTGGGTAATCAGAACGGAAGTCTGTCTGGCGCTTTGGGATCCCATTGATTTGCATGATCCAAATAAACTAAAATGTCCAGTGCAAATTTGGAATAAATGATTCCTCTGTTTTTGTAAAAAAAAAAGCTGTGTTTGCGGTTTCATGCCAAGAACCAGGCATGGAAATCGCGTGCATTTTTCCGACAATCTGAGATCAATTTTGTGCTGGCGTTATTATTTTTAATATAATTTTTCAAATTTCGCACGCTACCACACTGAACCCAGCGTGACTACATTGAATATATTAAGCAACCTGGCAAAGTTTTAAAGGAGCGATTTTTTAAGAGAAAGATCACTGCAGGGTGAACTTTGACTCAGTGCTCAGTATAAGCGGAATAAGGATTTTAAGTTTAGATAGAACAAGCCTCTAAGTGTTATAGGCCTATCGGTCGCGTAGATTCAGCTCTGAATAACAATGAGCACTGAAGCTGAATTAGTAAACTGTCTACTTACCACCTAAAGGTGATCCTGTCATTTAAATCCTCTAAATGGAACAAACGATTGCCTAGAATCCTACATTAAATTGTGAACAGAATACTTGGGCCCGCTTCTACTGACTGTTTCCCAGGATTAAATTTACTCCTTGCATTATTTACTTGAATAAACAGCAAATGTCTCTTCACGTTTTAAAAATAAAAAAAACTCGTTCTCAGGATCATTAGTGGCCAAATGTTATGTAGGTACAGGAGACGGTTTCCCTTTTTCTTTCAAATCCAACATAGAAACCATAAGCCAAAAGAGTTTACTGATAAAATTAGACATCGGACATTCTCCTGTAAAATTGGCACGGTTCCCAAATACCTGTAATTCAAACACATTCATGTAAGCTATCTTTTTTTAGATTTAAAAAATAAAGCCGATTTGTTAACTAGTTCCAGCCCCGTTTAAGAATTGGAATAATACTTTGTCCCGTTTATAAAGAAATGAACTGACTGGTGTGGTGTGAGTCTGTGAGTAAATGGCAGTGATCGTAGGGCCATTGATTGAAGGTTTTTCCCTAGGCACGGTTCTCGCACGGGACAAACAAGATTTGCGTAAAGCACTGTAACAGTTCGGGTTTTCTACAGACTGCGGATCTATTCTTCATGCGGCGTTGATTGGACGGTCAGCAGCCCGTAGGGCTGGTGTAGTTCATGACCGAGATAACAGCCGAAAACTAAAGCCAGTGTAATTGTATATATTGGACCGTATTCTTTAACCGGGAGGGGGCGGGGGTCGGAACATATGGAAATGCAATCGAACCCTGTATTCTTCAGGTTCACAATAAACCAAAACCAGACTAGGACATTTAAAAGTAAAATTGTTTTTCTTTTCAAAACAAAATAAGTGATCATTGAGAGGCGCACCCTGTATTTGTTTATATATACAATACTTATATTTGTTCAATGTGTTTGGAATTGACGCGAACCATTTAATTTATAAGCTGACCAAATACAATTTAGGAGTATTAAAGGCTTTAACACTGATTACTTGCTATGGTGCGCCAGACATTCAGTATAATTTATGGTCTGGGATGGTAACATGTCTTTCCACTAACATTACCTTACTCGTTTATTTCCGATTTTAATCGTTTCGAATACTGAAACACATGTGGCTACAAAGTGGCATTTTCTTGATCTTTGGCCGACAGCGAAGAATATAATTTAGTTCATGTTCACACAGTACAATGCCATTCCGCTTCCCTTCGGGAAACGGACCCAAAGCTGCAGTTCGGTTGATAATATGAAAACTGTACAGGGCTGAATGATTTCTGTCAGCAATTTGGCAAAGGCTGGTGATTATTTGTTGAAAAGGCAGGAGAACCTGTATTGTTGTCCTAAGGGCAGAGAAGGTCAAAGGGAGATTTGATAAAGATGCTCAAAACCTTGCAGGTTTTTTTTGTTTTGACAGAGAAACTTTCCCATGGCACAAGTAGTGGCAAAGGACACAGTTTTACGCGCATTGGCTAAACAATCAAAGGGCGGATGGGGAAAGCATTTTATTTAACGTACATTAACATTGCGATGACCTGAAATGTGCTACTTGATAGGGTGGTGGAAGCAAATCAAAAATAAGTTTCATAAGGGAATTGGCTGATTGGTGGAAGCGTAATATTTATAGGGCTACGGGGAGAAAGCCGGATAGAAGGGCTAATTAAGGTAGTTCTTTTTCAAACAGACCTCACAGACATGACGGGCCGAATTGTCTCCTGTGCTCTACCATCCTATGATTCACTCAAGTTACGAAAGCAGAACGGAATTTATTCCAGTCTCAAATAACATTTGTCAGCTATAAGGCGATTAAACTTTGCAACTTTTCATACGAAGGGTGTGATATAACAGCAACGAGTCATGTAGTTTTAATAATTATTACTCATTGAATGGTGCACCTTACTTTCTTAATTACAGCGGTGTCAGGGCTATGAATGCGCATATATATATAGAAAGATACTTGCCACGCATCTCATCAACAGCTCAAAGCACCTCCCACGTAACCACTGATTGAGGTGCAGTGACTGATTTAGCGTAAATAAAACAACGCGGGTCGTGTTCACAGTACCTCAGATTGCAAACGCGATCTTGTATAATACACCACGAAATGTATGGCCGTTCACGTCGTGGTGAAAAAAAAAATCTGGACTGAATTTGGAGAGCGCAATGCGAATACTTAACGTTATGGCAGTCGATCTTATTGCAATCAGATGGTTTAAATATCGTTTATCAGGAAATAATTTTGACCGTAGGCGATCTGTTCAGTGTTATTTGAAAATGATACTCTTTTAAATCTATTGCTGATATTTTGTGGGCATCTCATGGCCAACAATTCGTACTGGCTGGATCGGGTCGGGCCGGTTAACGTAGTCAGTTCGAAACCTGTCAGCATTTATCCAGCCGCCGAATCTCTGCGAAAGTCATTATTGCTTCTCAGATTTCAATTTGAAGTTAATTACTGAAATGACAAGCACAACCCTCACTCACTTCATCATTCAAGCCTATCCTTGATATGCGTAGATTGCAGCGTGTGAAGCTGAAATGTAAGCTTCTGAAGGGTTGTTGCAATGTGAATAATTACACCAAGGAGCATCCTTGCCACGAAAACACCAAGTGCTGGATTAAGGCAGCAATATCACCCTTCTCACGTGATAATTCCTTTCCCTACTGGGATTGGACATCCTCCATGTCATTTTTTTTATTTTTCTTGCCTAGATTTCTCTTGGATGAGACGTTCGTTTAACCAAAGACTTTAAAATAAATAGGCAAACAAAACATTTAGTTTATTTTTTTCGATGAACAAAACGAAGGGTGGGCGACTTTCAACGTTACCTCAGTAGACCATGTAATTAAACTCGAAAACTTCAGTCCCGCTGTGAAAGCCACACTCTTAAGGTATTGGGCCGGACTGGGAAAGATAAGCAGTGAACTCGTCGCAAAGATTCCTTTAACACAACTCATGTGAACAAGTATATCAAGTACTGAAGTTGACCAAAATTAAAGGTTTATTTTCACACTATAAACAAAGGTTGCAAAAAAAGCTGAATAACTCATTTATTTAAGCTGGAGTCCTTACCGTCTTAATATCGCAAAACGTCTTAATATTTAGACAGAAATCAGTTCGTTTATTTGTTTTTAAAAATTTTGATCAGGACGATTTTGCAACTATTAGCGACCAGATTGAGGAAAAGAGGATTCGGAATAAACTGAAAACATCTCATGTTGTAAACTTCAGGCAGAGAGAAGTCTGTAGTTGTGGGTTAACAGGATGTCTGCATTTGGTGTTTTATTTTGACTGAACCAAACACAAGCGTCTGACGTTCTATTTTTGGAACATGGCAAAAAAACAAGTTACTCCAGCCTCGAAGAGGTTAACAGGATGTCTACATACTGTTTTTTTTTAACATCTTCATGCCAGAAGGACAAAACATGCAGTTGTTGAACTTACCATAAATAAATGAAAATAAAAATGCCATTTCAAAGCATAAAGTTACCGTTATCATTTGCTAGCAAGAAGCATTGCAACATCCTTTTTCTTGAGGCAAGCATGGGAGTGTGGGGGAGTTATCTAACCTGAACTACACTGAAAACACAGGCAACTTTAAGTACACTGCCACCCATTTGAATTTCAGGATTTGTTTCATGTGACTCCCTTGGGTTTTTTTTGTCCTTGCACTATCTCATATTTACTGATAGACCCTCCCCGTCCAATTCCACTCACTTCACAGAGATATCCGGGGTGACTTTTGACGGTCTGAAATTGCTTTGCATCTGCCAAGCAAATCATTGCTTCAGCACTACTTTGAAAACCTTTGCTCCAAATTCTGGCCGAATTTCAAACGGTGCATTCGCACTCTCACTTCTGATCGCGTTTCAGTGTTTCACACGACTCGAGTGACAGAAAAAAAAGTTATTGCAACACTCTTCACAATTCATCTTTACACAATTGGCACAGTTATATTAACTCGATGAACAAACGTTTCCAAGTCCGAAGCGACTAGCGTTCTATGTAAGCACTGGACAGCTGTGATTACTTGTAAAGTTGTTATAATCCCCATTCTTGCTGTAAACAGGAAAAGTATATAACATAAAGCAAGAGGCATACATTATCAATGCAAGTGGTCCACGAAAGAGATTTTTTTTGTCACTCTTTGCCAAGTTCCCCTTTTATGGAATTCTGTCGCTTGGAATTTGCCTTCTTTGTAAGTCCTCTTCCTGACAGCCTCCGGCCCAACCTGTGCTTTGCAGATGGTTGTTCAAAAAATGACCAGCTGCGTACAACAACAGCAAAAAGCACACAAAAAACAATGAAAGTGCCACCATCCGTTTAAAGTCACCGTGATTGAGGAATATCTGAAGTCGTGATAGATTTGCACAGATTAAAAGAAGTATGCATATGTTGCAGAAGTTTGAGTCTTTTTGGATTTTGTTGGTAACTGTGTTTGTGTGCTTAGAGAATCAGCGGTGGACGTGATATTTCAAACATCAGATCAGTGCGTTTATGTATTGGGTGCCCGGAAATTTTTCCAAATAAACACAGCTTGATTCAACTTGGGTGGGCAGACTTATCAACAGACTAATTCTATAAACAAATGAACGAACAACCAAGCAAGCGATTGGCTGGTACCTCGAAGACACGTGGAGAAGGCTTAGGCTTTTTTTTGCAATGAAATTTAATTAATGTGGGTGGGCTGAGAATAAAACGACTGTTTATCATAGACAATTTATTTTCCAGTGCAAAGTCAACATAAAATAGCAACTTACAACAATTATTTAACATTTTAAGCCATGACGAAGGGACAAAGTGGGAACAATCTTAAGAGAGGCAGTACTCACATTTGCTGAACTGTAGCACACAGGGTCTGTGGTGGACTCCTGCAAGTCCACATTTTTTTTTGTTGTAAACTGTGATTTCTTTTGGAAGTTTGAAAGAAAAGAAGAGGCAGAGAGAAAAAAAAAATAGTTTTGCTCAGGCGACGCCGGGAACAGCTATGAACCATATCTATAGCAATCAGTTGCAGCAACTCAGAGGGTCAGGATCTACAATGGGCCTGAACAGTAGTTCTTCAGTGTACCTATATGGAGGGGACAGTAGGATGTTCCCTTCCTTGGGATTCAGTGGAAATAACGTGATGGCCAGGCACGAGCCTCCTCAAAAGCCTCCATACAGTTACATTGCCCTGATTGCCATGGCTATCAAAAGTGTCCCTGAACAGAGAGTGACTTTGAACGGCATCTATCAATTCATCATGGAGCGCTTCCCATTTTACCATGACAACAAGCAAGGATGGCAAAACTCCATCAGGCACAACCTCTCACTGAACGACTGCTTTGTCAAAGTCCCCAGGGAGAAGGGCAAACCTGGAAAGGGGAGTTACTGGACCCTGGATCCGAGATGCACGGACATGTTCGAAAATGGCAACTACAGGCGGAGAAAAAGAAAGGCCAAGTCCCAAGGAGCTCAGGAGCAGAGGGAAGGGAAGAGGGCCAAATCAGAAACTGGTGAAGAGTGCACAAAGGCTGACGAGTCTCCCAAGTCTGGATTTGACCATGACATCAAACCAAGACCCAACTCATCTGACCCGGAGAACTTCAAACAAGCAGGCGATTCGTCAGACAGAGCGCATTCAGGAAATTTGAGAACTCAAAGCGGCGGGAAAAAACAAAATGATTGCCATCCTGAGTTGGCACCGTCAAGCATCGGGGGCAAAAGTGTCAAGGCACTGAGGTGTGACGAAGTAACATTCCTTTATCCGCCTGCTGCGGAGTCTATTGACCAGGCGGTGACCCATCCAGTCCAACGTGGTGTGTGGACCAACCCTTCTTCACCAGCTCTTCCGCCTCCCGTGCCCTTCCCTCCTCCAACCGCTACCTCTGGTGCATTTGGATTCACGGCCTTGCCAGGGCAAGTTGGACCCACAGGCCCTTCCATGAAGGGGAACCAAGGTGAGGAGATGCCAGGAAGGGCGACGAAGGCAGATTCGCCCACGCCAGCCGAGCCATCTTCCAGTTCTCAGCCGTCACCTCGGGGTATCAACTCAGCCCGGGTTGTGAGAACCCCGGGAAATCAAGCACTGAGCTCCCCCTCAGTGGTTGGAAACAGCAGCCATCAGAACAGAGGACAGAAAGCTGGAAATAGCTCCAACTCACACAGTGCACGGTCCAAGAGCTTTAGCATAGAAAGTATCCTATCCAGGGAAAGCCATCACAGCGACAATAGTTGTGAAAGTGACCAGCTTGATAAAAATTCAACTTCAAAAGTGAATTTTACAAACCTACCCAATAGATGTTTCGGCAATTCGCTTTTAGATACCTCGACTAAAGTCTACGCCGCTTTAAACACTTCTTTGCCGTTTGATTCACATCACTTACCTGGTAAATATTATCAAATCGGTTTTCCTTTTTACTCGTACCTTCCCTTAACCTGTTCAGAAACATGTTTCAATTTTAAATAGATCAGTAATTTATCAAAAATCACCTGATCACCTTCTATGGTACGACAATAAATATTTGACCAAAGCCTGAAACATCTGTCGGATGACTTAACGTTTTTATTGAACTTTTTGTGAATTGAATATTTAAACACCTACAGTGTGGAGGTAGATTAATTTTACGAGAAGCGATGGGCTAATTGTTTTCAGCAGTTAAAACAGACCCGTGGCTATGAACCCCCTTTTATCATCTATTGGGCGGGGATTTTTTATAAAACGATCTCTCCATTTATGTGGCGCCCGATCATGCCTCAGAAGGGGTTTCACATACATTGAAACTAAGTCGAGTTAAACGGGGTATCGTTTTAGCTTCTGCATCCAGAGCATTTAGATGATACAAATCTCATTAGCTCACCAGTAAACGTCTCGCTTGCTTAAGCCAGCACATCCTGATATCAACCATTATATGAGATAGACCCCAGCTGTATTAATGTATATCTGGGCGAAAGCAGTGTCTTTATTCCGTACAGTCAAGTTTAGTTTTATTTCCCTACCATCCCGCACGCTAAAGAACGCTTCATTTCTTGCAGAGAACTTTTGACGTCTAGTGTAACTTCTGTTTACTACACTGTTTTGCTGATATGTAATCTGGAATAAAATATCCTGTTGAACTATTTCGATTGAATAACGTATCACTTGTTATTTCATTTCGACATGTTGTCTGTGTTATCTATGTCGCTTTGTTTGGTTTTTCACCCTTCTCCCGATGAAACCGAGATGTTTCAACGACGTAATTGAACGGGAACACTGCACCTGGCCCTTGTTCATACCAGGTGAAACCACTTGAGCCGAACCCGATGATGTCATTGTACTTTTGGAAGCGCTGTCACTTCTGTGCGATTTAGTGGTTGCCGAAGTTTCTACAGTTTTGTAACAGAATGAGGAAAAGTGCAGACTCAAGTGTAATCCTATTCACTCTAATTTGTACTACTGTGGCACAGAACAAGGCATTCTCTGATTCTTCGGCAACCAACCTCGATGACTTGAGAAAATGTTTCTAACCAATCCATACCACAAGTTGAGCGATTACACCAATCGTCAGCTGCGCTAAACTTTATTGTGCCAAGGAGGTGCTACGATGTTAAGGCGACAATCGTTCTATAATCTAAACTACTTGTGTTTAAAGATAGTGACCCTATAATATTGCTAATGGTAATTCAAGCACCGGGGCTCATAGAAGACCGACAGCTGTTTATTTTGACAGGCGGAATTCCCCTCTAATAGTTAATTGAATTACCCAATTCATTTAAAAATATGTTACGGGGCTCTTCGCTGTTAAGTATAGAAAACATACATCGAAATTATTCTTTTCTCCTCAAAGCAACATCCTTTTTTAAAATGCTTTTAAAAAAGTGGGTGTGTTAGGAGAGTCAGAGTCGGACTGGAGAGTGTACAAACAGAATGGGAGTAGGAAAAGGATCCAACACTTGACGGAGGTCCCGGGTCTGAACAAAGCTCCCTTTCAAAACAGCGTCGAATTCCCACAGCTCGGGAGAGTTTGAAGGTTTTCTGTGGAAACACTACTCTCTGCACGTTGGAGTCTGCAATCTTTCCACTCCCGTGTAACTTTCATAACACAGGTCATACAAGGAGGTGCTGTGCTTTCACCTTTTGTTTTAACTTAAAGGTGCCGAGAGGAAACCTGTCTAAAGAAGGAGATTTAAAACACCCAGCGTCGCTCTGAAAGAAAACTTTTTTTTAGATTTAGGAAAAGTGACAACTTTCTATTACATCATATTTTATCATTTCTAATGCCAATTGCTATTAAATAAACAGGGCAGGAAAAATAAGAAAATCCGGATCTAAGTGAATCTTTAGTTCACGTTTATAATAAAATTGGGTATCACACTTATGCTGTAAGTTAAAACGATTTATCTATTCTTTACTGAAGTAACTTAAAAGAATGACCACGAATACAGTTTCACATCGAAGTAATTCTCAATAACTAGCGATTTTTAAAATCTGAATTGTAATAAAGTATTATCACAGGCTATTTTTGTGCTCAATTTTAACCGAAAAACAATACTTAACATCCACTTCCAACGAGACAATCGGAGCAACGGATTGCATTATTTACAAATTTTAGACAGAAACGAAAGCAGAATGAGGTTAAAGTTATTTTAATGTAGCCAAGGTCTTGGTTCTGAGAGATGAAGAGAGAGACCGCGTGTTGCAGTCCTCAAAGTAACATTTTCAGGTGTCTCGAGACTGACCTGTAAACAAAGGCACTGATATGGCGAGATCAGATATTGGCAAAGTAAACTTCAAACTAACTCCGAAGTATCAGCTCGTTGGAAGTTCAGGGTAATACCACTGTCTGTACTGAGCCTGTGTGAAAATGGTTTGTTTTAATGTAATATAAGACGAAATAAATAAACCTCTTGGTTTTCGGTCCCCCTCCCAGGATTCTTGTTTTTATATGTATGTGGGGTGCACATGAGGAATGTGCATAAAAGTAAATAAACTTCATCAGATTGCTGCAAAGAACCAAGACGTTTGCAAGTATTTCCTGTTTAGAGAATTTTTTTAATCAAATGCTCTCATGCACAGTACAGTTCCTTTCCAAATAATTCTATACAGTGTACTTCAAAGTACACGTTACCCAGTAAATCTCAAGATGACTATACAATGAACATAAATATGTACAGCACTGGCTATGACCTTTGTGAGCCGCATAGGCCTAGTGTTTCATTGCGCTTTGAAAGCTCTTGGCTATTTCCACTGTGTGTATATTTAGGCACCTCTCCGTGTTCTCGTATGCATTGATGTGCATGAGTCAGATTAAAACTACTATTCTTAAGGAGACTAATTAGCCGGACATACTGATTTCAAATCAAATAATTTGACTGAATCACAGCCAGAGCAAATGTAGTTATCTGGAGTTTAATAATCAACATACAATTCCTACCATAACAACTGCATATTTCTTTGAATGCATACGGTAACAGAAAAAATAAGTGGTCCTACCTGTATATTGGCTCACATGTAAAAAAAATTGTTTTGCCCAATGTCTTGCTCCTGATTTCAGGTGCAATAATCTTCATTGAATTGGCATTGGGAGCAAGAGAACAAAGGCTATTAACTGATAGCCTCACAACATTCCACTTAAGGTCACTAGGTAAAATAACTTGTCACTGAAAATGACACTGCCTATTTTGGATTATGGGCTGCATTGTTCTACAAAATGATTAGCTAAGGAACCACAATGTGAAAAAAATAGTCTGAGGCAAGCCTTCAATTAACCTTATCCACTAGTAGGTGATACCAGTGGTGAAAGGAATAGGTATTTTACCCACTGGCATTTGATAAAGGAACACCATTATAAATTAAGCATGGCAAGAGAATCATTTTGTGGTAGAAATTGAAGAATTAATTTTCATGCTTTAAATTGATACTTATTTCAATATTTTGTTAAGAATTTCAGAGCTGAGGAATGTAACATCTATCCAGTGTCTTCATAAGGCATTCCCGAATCAGGTACAGCAAAAATTTAATTGTTCCATATTAAAATACCAACAATGTGAAATGCCTCTCGTTGATACTATTACCATCAAAGTTAGCATGAATAACAAATGATTTCTAACTTGCAATTAGCTTTCTCTAAAGTTATCGTCAGGAGCAATTTTACCCCATCCTACTTTAACCCCTGTGTACCAGGAATTTATATTCCACATACCAGTCATCCATGTGACTACACTTGTTCTCTAGTTATTTTGTACATTCAAAGCCAAAACGCTGTGAATGTTAAGTATAGCAGAAAAATAGCATTTTCAGTTAATTGTAAAGGTTACTGAGATGGCCAACAGCAAACGGATAGAAACTATACTACTTTGATAGTGACCTGCGAATAGCAACTGCAGGAACTGGTGACAGAGACAGTAAAAACAAATTTTCTAAGTAGTTAAATTATCAGTGCCATTAAAGAAATATGTAGGAACATAAAATTAAGAACTGGTCCTTCAGTTCCTCAATATCCTACTGCTCAATGAATTGTGGCTTATTTTTATATCCCAACTTCATCCAATCACTTTGGCTCCATTTTCCTTAGTACCTTTTGCTAGTAAAAGTCAATTGATATGTGATTTAAAAATACTGATTGAGTTGGATCAACTATTTTACCTCGTCTCCTGAATGGCCTGGTTCTGATTTGTAAGATATTGTCCCTTGTCCTTTATCAACAAGAAGATTTCCAATCAATTCTTTCAAAATCCAAAATCTCTGAATTACATTTTCCCTTGACTTGCAATATTCCAGGAAATATAATTCTATTTTTGTAATCTCTCCCCATATTTTAATCTTTGGTGCCTTGGCAACATTCTAGTGAATCAGTGCTGAACCTCTTCCAAGGCCAATAAATCGTTTTTAAGTTGCCTTTCCTAGAATTAAAGACAGATCTTCAGATGTGATCTAACCAGAGCTTTGACTAGCTGTAGCAAAGCATCCACCTTTATATCCTGAGATAACACGGTGTAGAGCTGGATGAACACAGTAGGCCAAGCAGCATCAAAGGAGCAGGAAAGCTGATGTTTCGGGTCTGGACCCTTCTTCAGAAAATTTATATATATCTTTATATATACCTTTATATCCTTACCTTCTAGTTAGGAACATTACCATCCAATGGCCCCTTTCAATTTTTTTGATCTGTACATTTTATTGATGTGCAGCCTTTGGACTGCCACTGTTTCTAGATTTTCATTATGTTAAGAAAACCCAGGTTTTATGTTTTAGCACAAAGTACTGACATTTAGGTACATTGAAAGTGCTCACATTAAATTAACAAATGTCACTTTGCAATTATTTGATCCCATCTACACTACTTACTATGTCACCTAACTTCACCTAACAACAAACTTATGTATTTATCATTCTTCTTTACCATCTAAGTCATCAATAAAAATAGTGAATTATTTACAGCTTGAGCACAGAAACTTGTGCAACAATGCTAGCCAATTTTTTCTAATTTGAGTACTTATTCATTACCTCTAGACTCTGTCCTCTACATAACCAATCTTCTAACTGGGTCAATAATAAACTTTCAAACCTTTGAGTTTTCATTTTGGCTGACAATATCTTATGTGGAAACTTTTTGAGGGCCTTCCAGAAGTCCATGCACACTGCATCCATAGACATTCTTCTGTATAATACTTCAGTTTCTCAAAAACAAAAAAAGCATGACTTATTTATTGGAATTTTACACTGGCTGCCTCTACTCAGTGCAAATTTCTCTAAGTGCTCAATCATTCAGTACTTCACTATAGATTCCAAAATTAGACTTGCAAGTCTATATATCAATACTTCCATTCTCCCAGGGTGTTCCAAGTTGCTTCAACCAATTAAGTACATTTGAAATGTAGTTTCTGTTGCAACATAGGAAAATGCAGTAGCCAATGTATACAAGACAATTAGATAAAGGTCTAGATAATGTATTTAAGTGATGTTGGCTCAGGGAAAGACACTGTTCAGGACTCCAGGAAAATGGTTTCCTTTGGCTAGAGTCATGGGTCTTCCACATCCACCTGAGGAAACACAGAGCCTCAGTCCAACAGTTTTTCTGAAAGGTGACATTTCTATCA